AAAGGGGTCTGATTGGGTATGACTAACTGTTACTGATAAACATAGCGAGAACGAGAAGTTCCGAGTAACTGTCTCGCTATGTGAATGTTTTCTTCAGGGGTGTGGCAGCAAGGGAATCGACTCCGTGCAATCTTCCCTGGCTTAATAGACCACCTTACGTTGACAAAGATGGGGTTTCTACGTGGATTGAGATGCTATGATCAGACATTGTAACGATAAACGGTGTTGACTTACTCTTGTTTCACAATGATTCAAAACTTACATCTTTTCAAAATCCGGGGCTAACACGGTATGAGGATCAGGCGGACGAATTTAAGACAAATGAGGTACAAGTCTCGTATGGCCTACCCGCATGATCTTAAAGGCTTCCGAATGATCCAGGGCTCAAGTGGCGTCAAAGGCGACGACCGAGTCGCCTGGTAAAACTTGCAAAGTATGATAAGAGTAGCAGGGCTCTGAGAAACCTTCCTTATCACAATAATAACAAGAAACAATGTGATAAGAGTAGCAAGGCTCCGAGCAGTTTGCCTTATCACAATGATGTCACTGACGATGTGATAAGAGTAACAAGGTTCCGAGCAACCTGCCTTATCACAATGATGTCACTAACAAGTGTGTGATAAGAGTAGCACGACTCCGAGAAACCTGCCTTATCACAATTATAACAAGAAACAATGTGATAAAAGTAGCAGGGCTCCGAGAAGCCTGCCTTATCATGATAATGACAAGTGTGTGATAAGAGTAGCAAGACTCCGAGAAGCATGCCTTATCACAATAATAACAAGAAACAATGTAATAAGAGTAGCAGGGCTCCGATAAGCCTACCTTATCACTATAATGACTAAAACAATGTGATAAGAGTAGCAAGGCTCCGAGAAGTTTGCCTTATCACAATAATAACAAGAAACAATGCGATAAGAGTAGCAAGGCTCCGAGAAGTCTGCCTTATTACCATCTGACCTTGATCTAATGCAAAACAGTAGATATTGGAAGCAAGGCTTTCGAGGCCTGCCCTATCTCAAACAGACGCCAGTGAAGGATGGGTAGATCCCGATCGGTCTACCGAACGACTATTAACCTTTTCCATATAACTGGATCAATCAATTACTAACGAGCTACTTCTGATTCTATAACGGAAGGGATAAGTGAGATCTTGGCCCTAAGAGATTTATCACTCTTGGAACTCCTGATTTGATCTCTATCATATGATTCCTCTCTAAGATGTATTGGTGGTATTGCTTGTGCTTGCCGAAAAGAGAGTCAAGATATGAGACTTTATAAACGACCTTAAAAAGAAACATATGTAGGATCACTAGGTCGGAGGAGCTAGGAATGAAACCTGTTCATTACCTAAACCAATAGGGCGACAGCCTGACAGTTAGATAAGGATAGAGGCTAGACAGTGGGTCACTGATGAGCGTCGATCTCTATGTCACAAGTCTAGAAGAGATCTTCTAAACCCCAGCATAGGAAATAAGATATTAAGTTTTTTTTGGACTATGTTGTGCCTACAGGTTTCATCACTTTTGGAGAATATTACGGAAGATAACCGTAAGGAACTGCAATTCTGTTATCATTGGATAACAGGTCGGTAGGACTCCGACTCAACTCCCACATGGCTTGATACCCACACCTAAGACAAAACCTAAAAAGAGAATGAACGGATCTTCCCGTGTATCTAAGTCTGAATTCTCTAAATCACTCTCGAAGGTCTTTAAAAAGGTGAAGGGCTAGGTAAAAGCAATCAGGCGTAAGAAGGAGTGTTGTTTCCAAGGTTTTTGGGAGTGAGGGACTTGCTATGAATGGGTTAAAAGTTTACATTTGTAGCGCATTCTGTGTTTTGTATTTGTACACGTGTATGTGATTTCTTGCATCTACACAGGTGTTGGGTAGTGGACTGTCTTTCTGAACTTTGAGATCATCTGGAATATTCGGACACGGGGCACCACAATTGGGAAAGTGAGGTGTACCGCTCATTAGCTCCCCTGATTTATATATATACTTATATATATATATATATGAAACAAGGTTTGGAAGGTTATTGTATAGGATTTCTATTGAAGATTACAGAAAGGACTAAAACTTTGACATTTCTCATATAGTCAACAAAGGAACATAGTCTTCATTATCATAGTTAGTTAAGCGTGGAAGACTGCCAGGAAAGGTCGACCTGATAAGGTAGTCGGTCCGAGGGAGTTAGCACCTCAGGGCACGATACACGGGTCAGTCTTAAGGCGTTCTACCGCGCGTATGCCTATGCTACGGCGATCGAGAAAAAAAAAACGTCCTCGGCTGACCTACCTCTGCGATTGCATGTTAAAGCTTTCGCACGTGGGTCAGTAGCTCAGCAGGGATACGCCCACCTAAGGGATGGTGACAGCTCCCGCGGGTGGAGGTAAGTTGTACCTCGCGGGATCTTTAACCTGTCGTAGGGATTCGCGAGAGGTATAGCACGCACGCACGGTCGGAGTGGTGTTTCGCTAAGGTGACATAAGACTCTTGCGTGATACAACCGCGAGGTCCGACACAAGAATTACTTTGCGTCTAGGTGTGGGACCGCCGCGCGCGACAGCGTGTTATAGGTATCCGGGTAATCAGGGCCCCTAGGATCGTTAGTTATGACTCAGTGAAAGTCTCTCGCACACAATCGATTGCTTTTTGTCATACAACGAAATTCTAGATTTCTTAAGTTCCCCCGCCGTCTGAGTTGTTCACCTTCCCAGTATTCGCGGTATTCCGGGTCCCTCAGACTCTCACGATCGGACATCCAAAAGGGAGATTCCGCAACCATATCCGTTTGGAAAGCTCGGTGCCCTGCATCCTCGTGCGAAGTTCCAGGCTGACTCACGCAGGCGAGCGGGTACATAGCGACTCGGTTTCCTCGAGATTGCGGTCGTACGTGATCGTGCACGTGAGAATAGCGGTTCGGTTCAACGGGTCGATCGCATTCAACATACATGCAGATATCCTATCCCTGTCGTGTCGAGTGAGATCCGGTCATTTCATATCATACATGCGACAAAAAGGAGGAAGGATCGTTAACTTCTTATAACACTTTTGTCAATCGAAGGCTAACGATTAAACCAAAACACCCATAATCGAGCGCTTTCCATCATATCTGAGCGTATAGCTCACGCACGTGGCGATAGACAGAGTAGAAACGGGCATCGCCAAACAAGATTAAAAATCTGAAAAGATCGCGGATAAAGGGGACTCACATTCATTCCATGCATACATACAAAATACAAACAATAAGAAAAATCTGGGACGATTTACAAAAGAAGTCCAAAAAGAAGGCCGCGATAAAATCGACCATATCCGGATCCAAAATTATACAGATGAACAAAAGAAAAGAAAGAAACAATGAAAATTATCCTCATCCCCCACCCACGATTGCTCTCTTCTCTCTCTCTCTCTCTCTCTCTCTCTCTCTCTCTCTCTCTCTCTCTCTCTCTCTCTCTCT